CCTTTCTCTGCTGGGAGAATGAACACAACTGATCACAAGGGAAAAGCTCAGCCCAAGAACATATGTCTCAGCACAGAGAACGTATCCTCTGCCTGACAGCTGCTTCCCTCTTCTTTGCTGCTTCACCCAGGGAGGTGGGGGCCTTATTTTGAATTAAACTCCATATTTTTACCCCTCTAAGAAGCCATGCAGGCCAGATTTGAGAGTGAACTCCCCGTTCAATGTTCTTGTTTAAAATAATCAAACACATCTTTTTGCTAAGAACTTCGGTAACTGGGAGAAAGCTGGGAAGTATCTCCTTGCCAACGGCTGGAAGAGGCAATGCTGCTCTTAAGGGCTGTGTGGTAAGACTCTAACAACAAACTGACTTCTCTTTTTGGTTCTTCCTGCTTGACAGGTTTAATGGGGAGAAAAGCACGTCTATAACAAACTATCTTCAATGATTTATTAAAAGATATCAAAATGATCCAGCTCCAACTTATGGACAAAAGTGCAAATGCAGCCCTGTTAAGCAAAAACTCCTACAGATTTCACACTGAAAGAACGGATTTTGGAAGTACAGGTAAAGCTTAAAAATCAGATCAGAACTCCTCTTTTCAGGAAGTCCTCATCAGTCAGGAAGGATATTATATTTGGAAATGCTGAAATCTGTCAAGGCACTGAGATTTCTTATCTTGTAGGATTTATAGACCTGACAGTAATTTTCTGCTGGACTATGTATGTACTTCTGCATGTTACAACCACGTATGCAATGAAAATGGCATAATACAGTAGCTAATTACCCAGTCTGCCAAAAACGAAACCCAGCTCTGGCTAGCGAGACGCTTTCAGTGTCAGACGGCAGGGACTGCTGAGCACAGCCACCAGCTTTAGCAGCGATCCCTGTCCACGGTCCCCAGCACACTGCAGCACCACTTCTCGATTTCTGTGGAAGAAAGCTGGTAATGCTCTCCAATGGTCTCAGGAGGTTTCATTCGCCTGCTTAAGAAAAATTCTGTTAGATTCCATAGCAAAGATGTACTAAAAAAAACCAGCAAAGGTGAAGTGACTGGTTTTAACGCAAAAGTCTGCGGATTATATTCTTTTACAAACGTTCATGTTGCATACCAAAAATTACCCAGGATTCGGAATGAAGTTTTCACTTTGTTAAGGGCACTAACACATGGTGTTCTAAAATCATGACAGAAATAGCTGCAGCCATATTGCTTACCCTAGAAATCCAGCGCTTCTAGAGAGAATGCCAAACGCTAGGCGTGTTTCTCAGTTGCTGTAACGTCTTATGAAATAGCAGATTGTCTTTCTGGGGGAAAACGACCCGATCCAGCACAGGGCTGAGCGCCCTTAGTTGATATCGCAGGCAGCCAGGTTCCTGAGGCTGAAAGCAGCATGAAGAGTGGGAAGAGAAAGAGAGGAACTAAATCGTGCGTGTCTTACATGGCTGGTATCGGCTTAAAACCAAAAGTAAGATTTCAACTTTAACAAGAGGAGGGTAAATTTTTCAGAATCTGAAAAATCTGTTCAGTGAGGGGGAAAAAACCCTCTAAAATTTAAAGAGAGAAAAATTTAACTCTGGTCTGAATCCAGGCACAGGCTGTACGTGGCGTTATTGTAGGTTCCCATATGTTTCCTAGAGGCATTGAAAGAGACGAGGAAATTTAGACACAGGGAAATCTAATTATTTGTGATTGAAACTAAATAGCAGCCAGTTTATGCATATACTGTTCCTGTTGAATTATCATTATTCTACCGTATTAAATTATGTTCATATGCTATTGTACTTTCAGAGATAGCCATATGTTTTTTCACATTCTGTTTCACACACTACTTTTTTTAGTCATCAGAATTTAATGACATAAAGATTGCTATCTGAGTTGACATGGTTGTTCCCTCTTGATGATAGTCTTTAAGCAGAAGCACAATGTGACAGATGAGAGTGCTGAAGCTCAGTGTTTCACACAGACTTTAAAATAATAATAATAAAAAAATATTCCTGCAAAACTTTGAAAACTGTTCTATGGGGGAACACTTTTTCTACTCTGTAATTTCTTTGCTTTTCTTTCTTCCTTCATTTTCTACGCCTAGAAACGTGTGTATGAAAACAGGAATTGAGTTGTTCGGGAACTCATATACTCCTGCTGCGCAGTCATCACAGGAAATCATAACCCTCTCTTTCTGCAGCAGTTTAAGACTAGGTAGCAGCATAGATCAAATAAACGTTGGAAGATTAAAGAGGTCGGAGATCTGTACTGGATTTAGGGCTGGATTTAACTGGAAAAGCTTGCAGACTTGTACTCAACATCAGCAAAATCTTGTTGCTAGATAATTTTGTCCCAAAATGAGGAAAGCAGCATGAAGCCTGAGCTGTGTAAAGGCAGGTTCAGCACAACCAGGACATAGGTACAGAGGTGACAGCAGGCAGACGTAGCATTTCTGGAGATTCCTATAGTCTTGATGCGGAAAAGTCATTCCAGCAAGTTCTCCGTGACTTTGAATGGAGCTCTCGCAGAAACAGGTTATTGCTGGAAAATTCAACAGCGTCTAAAGCAGACGGGAGTAGAGAGACTCCTTCCCATTTTGAGATGCCAACCTGAGCCCCTCTGGAAAGGAGGATTTGTATTCAGGCATCCATACCCAGGGTCCGCACCACCAGACTGCCCAAGGCTTCACACGTAAAGTTTTGGGTTTAACTCATTTCAAAGATTTGCTTAATGTTAGATTAATCTGGTTTGGGCATAAGCATTACATCAAGCCCCAAAGAATTATATGAATTAACTTAATTCTTTGGGTATCAAAGGTACAGGTTTTCCATTTCAGAAAATTCCATCTTTGCCTTCCTACTTCCCATTATTTGGATAATTTGCATGAAAATAATGTCTCTTTGCTTGTGAGGTTTTGCCCCACTGCTTTATTATTCACTCAGAACAGTCGTTCTTTGCATATGATGTCATTGTTACTTGCTATTGAAATAATTTTAATGTCACAAAAAGGATTAAGATTTCAAGTGAGGAGTGAGCAATAGGAAAACCTGATCACCTAAGCAACAGAAGTCCTGTTTCATGCCTCTGTGTCTAATAATACCCAGCAAGGCAAAAAACCCTGTCACCAAGGGAATGATACATCCTCCTGCTTCCCAAACAAAATCTTTTCTTACATGGGCAAAGCTGGTGGGCTCTGCATTTGTCAAGTGTGGTTATTTGTCAAGCATCAATGTCAGGCTGATAGAAAACAATCCTGTTGAGACAAGGACAAGCAGTTTGGGGGGGTTTTGCAGCGCTCTGAACCCTTCCCCAGTGCCATCTTCCACCTTGGAAGCTCCCTGTGCCAGAGGAGCCCGGGAGGGTGAGTGCAGGGCCAAGCCTCGGGCCCTGCTCCGACCTCCCGCTGCCACCTTCCCAACCCTCTGCACATCCCTAACGCAGAACAGGCCTATGGCAGCCGTTTGCGATGGCGACATTGAGCTGCCGCCATGACCGGCCCAAGAAACCCTAAAGCCTGATAACGGTTGAGGAGAAACTTCTTGGTGGAGGCAGCCAGCGGCCTCGTCCCATCCCTGAGGGGCCGGGCTCCGTGCCCTGCTCATGGCCCCGGCGCGACGAGCGTGGTGCAACCCAAACCTGAGGTAAATAGGAACACGAGCTGGCAATGTGCGCTGGCAGCCCAGGAAGCCAACCGTATCCTGGGCTGCATCAAGAGCAGCGTGGCCAGCAGGGCGAGGGAGGGGATTCTGCCCCTTG